CCCCAAGCGGGTCAGCGATTCGGGACTTTCCTGTAATTGGCCGCCGAGGCAGCCATGTAGTGGCGCTTTGCGGTTCTGGGCCGTTCTTCACTGACGTGGAGTGGCCCGTGGTGCCTCGAAAATTGCTCGAATTTTCCAGTCAACACAGCACCACCGCTCTGTTTACAATGGGTACTCTTGCTTTCGCCGGGATTTGAGGGCCGTATTTGGGAGAATCTGGCATTATTTGAAGAACACTCTAGTGGAACAACTGTAATTTTTTTTTAATGCCTACACAAAAGGATGTGCAGTCAAGTGTGAAATTCAGTTCAGTGTAACAAAATAATTTGCAAAATCATTATAGACACAAAGACACAAGTGTTCGATAATTGTACATTTGTTTTACCACCACTGTCTGTATTCTAAAATTATTTGCCGGCAGAAGCTGCTACTGAGTTTAGCAGTGGGCCGTCTCGCAGACGTTTACATATACGACACCTACCTCCCGATGATCGATTATGTATTAGGGGTGCGGTGCAATCCGCTCTCCGCCGGCTGAGGTCATGCCGAAGCCACATTGGGTAACGGGCTTAACTGATCCGGCTTCAGTCATTAGCGCGCCCTGCCGCCCACACGCGCGCCCCGCTCGCGTCATGTTCACAGAAAGACCCTATGGAAATGCTATCTTTCTTTTTTACTTAATTTCCTTAATTTCGAGATGTGTGAGTAAGAAAATGGAAGTTTTCTGTAAAACTCAGTCAAGGAAAGAAATCCGTGTTGCTAAAAGTACTTGTGCTTGTACACCACATTGGTTTGACTAAAACGGACCCGGTCCAGTGTTAAATAAATAACCGGAGCCTAATGGAGCGCCTGTTTTCCCTCGGATTGGCAACTAGCAGCCTGGGGCTGGAGCCGGACTGGAGCCGGGCGGTCGGTCGGGTGGTCGGGGGTGAGTGCGAGGCAGGGCCGGGATGATGCTGACGCATGCGGGGAGCTGGCGAATAATGAGGACAAAGAGAGAGGAGGGGGGAGGGAGGCGGGGGTCCGGAGTGAGGAGGAGGAGGAGGGGACTGCACAGGATGGCGGCGGCAGGACTAACGGCCTTAGGGCAGCCGATATGTTAACGACCCCGTGTCACCCGGTGCCGTGCTGAGCGATGAGGCATCGCCGCCTGTTGCTATGTTCAAACTGCTGCAGGGCCCGGGGGGGTCCCACCCCATAGCCCACAGGGTCCCCCCAGTATGGGGCCGGGACGAGATACTAGCCCGCTTCTCAACCCTCCCTTCTTTTTTTAGAGCAGCCCGGCTGTGCGGCGGCAGCGGCGGCCCGTCCGACATTCATCAGCAAGAGAGACGCCGGCAACCAAATCCCCCTCAACCTCCTTATACCCCCCTCTCTGCCGCCCCCGCGATCCCCCGGGCCGGCATTATCTCAATTAGGGGAAAGAAAGGGCCGCGCTCTGCCACGGGGGGCCCCAGTGACTGCGTAGTGGCCCTAATCCAGGACTTTATGTCAATGCCTTTAAATAGTGGTGCACTAATTATGTCTCGCTAAACTGCTTGCGCTCAAAGCAGATGAAGGGTTGCTTGTGGTGGGCGGTTGCTGGCTTACTCCGGGAAGCGCGTGGAGCAGCAGCTGCGCGTGGCAAGGAATCGAAATAATGTTTGTCTCTTCAACCGGACCTTTTCGAGCAGATGCCTTCCCTCGCCGTGTATACTTCTTCCCATGGTTCCCACATTTTGGCTCCCGGTACTTTCCAGGACTTTCCAGACTAAATTTTCAATATTTCCATGACCCCCACACTGCTGTTGCAACCGAGCCCTATCCGCGAGAGATTCCCCGTTCCCGTGGAATGCCTCCTCTTCTTGATTTCAGCGCAACCCCGTCAAGTGCTTTGCATTTTCACTATGCCCCGCTGGCGCGCAGCACGGCCCGGTTTGTGGAGCCGTAGACCGTAGAAAAGACTTTCGGGTAATAGGCGCGCGATGCGCTGCTGTTCCACACAGCACACCTTCCGTGCGGTTGATTTTCGTCGTTACCTTAAAATGCCTGCCGTGTTGTTCCTTCTATTCTCTCTTCCTCTCTCTTTCTTTTAAACGGAATTCGTAAATCTAGTAACCCGAGCGCCCGTCGCCCCCTCCCACCACGCCCCGCCGCGCCCCTTGCCATTCCTCGCTCGGCTGCCCAACGCAATGAGATACAGCCGGAATGCGTGGCTCGAAGTTTACCTGCCTGCTGTTTTCCCCGCGTTGCTGTTGTTGTTCTGTTGTTGTTGTGTTGTTGGTGTGCGCGACGTTGTGGCTGCTGTGCTACCAGCGCGACAGCCGCGATCATATCTGCCGCTGGCAGCAGCAGCAGCTTCAAATAGCACAAGTGGAGCTACTCGAGCTGCACAAAGCGCCAGGAGGGGGTCGGGTGGCGTGACGCGACGCGGCCCCTCGGGACCCTAACCTGCTCCTTGAAGGACGCGGCATTCACTGTGGAGGGCCACCGCAGCCGCCGGGGGCCCTCATACGCAGACTTGTACAACCTTATACCGATCAGAGGAAGGGCTGTCGTGGTCGTAGCATCGCCACACAGCACGTGTTTTGTCAGCACAACCATAGAAGCGGCTCTGTGAGAAATTGTGTAACCGGGTACAGGAACATTTTCCATGAAGGGTGGCATACATTAACAATTCAAAATTGTAAATTTATAAGCATTTCGTAAAATCCATTTACGAGCAAGAGTGCGATGGTGTAGGCACAACATATTTCGCAAATTTAGTAAATCACAAAATACATTGCAGGCTTACAATGCAACATATTTTTCCTCTGTGAGATTTGCATTTGGACGATGATAAAAAGTCTTTTTCGCATTTCTGTCCTCGGGGATTGGCTGGGCTGGCAGAAAAGTGGCACCCTGGCGTGTGGCTGCCCGCTTCGCAAAGTGTCGTGGGCGTATGCGTCCCGCGCGTCCCGCCACCGCAGCGCCACACCTGTCCGAATAGCGCTCAGAATTAATTATTAAGCACCGTAAAACGGCCGTGGCGGGGCTGAGCCGGGCGGGGCCGGGCGGAGCCGGGAGCGAGGCGAGGCGGGGCCACTTGTGTCAGTGTGTGTTTAGAGAGGGCGCCGCCCGGCGCACGCTTTATGGGGCGGGCATAAAAGCGGAGTCGTCAATACGGTGGAAGGAATGTCGCGCGCTGTCCTTTACTGCCTTCTTTTAGCCTCCTTGTCCCGGGGCGGGTAGTGGCTCCACGTGTGAGGAGAGAGCGGCGTGCGGGCGAAAGGGGTAAGAGGAGGAGGGGGGCAGGTGGTCAAGAACAAAGTTCAGAGTTCAGCCGGCGGGGACCGAGTAGGCGAACAGAGAGTGAGGTTCCTCCCCTCTTGGCAGCTGGCACAAAGTCTCTACCTTCCCTCAGGCGTCCGCTACTTTGGCCTCTCTCTTCTTGTCCCAAAGAGGAATTTTGGTGGAAGGAACGTGGATTCCACGTAGATTTGTGACGTGGATTCAACGTCGAGTATCCACGTGATATCCACGTGGATTTGACTCCTTTATCCACGATATTTCGACGTGGAAATCACGTCGATTGAAAAACTTTTTTTTTCCAACCTTG